TAAAGTTATAAGGAAATGCATGTGAATAATAAAGAGCATTTGGTGAGAGGTGGGGAGAAAATTAATTCGGTAAGACTATACAGAGGGCTTCAGTGTATTTATTATATCTTATTTCTTTAGCTGACTCAGAGGTATAAGATTATAGAAAAGTGAGGGAAATTAGAAGTAGATCATAGTCTAATCTTTAAAAAATGTCTCTTACTTATAAAATGAGTCAATAAAGTTGTATTAGTACATTTCCAGTTCTTGCTTCAACAAAAGTTACCTTTTGTCATGTTACTCAAATTGACCTCCCACTTTTTTTCCAAATGTTCTTCAAATGCTGCTGAATGACTTCGTAAATCATATTGCTGATTGTGACGCTGAGTCTTAAAAAGAATGTGGGTTTTCCCAGTGATCAGTGTTGAAATGTTTGTTTCCATCATACAAGTTGGTTTAAAGAAAAAATATAACATTTGTAAGGTATTTATATAGAAGTTTTCTTATTCACCTACATTCAGGAATATAAACTATCTGGTGAGTGAAGGATTGGCACCTACTTGAAGCCAGTAAATGTTGAAAATTTTTTTTCCTCTTAAAGGTATTTGGCATATTATATATGCAAATATGTTAAGGTTTTCATTTGTTTTTTTAAGCTATAATTAATGTTTCTTGTTTATTTGACTTCCACCCTTCAAAAAAGATGTGTTTTGTCTTTAGAATCACGGTATTTGAAGCTTCCGAGCATTTCAGGTTTTTAAAGTTTTGTCATGCTTCTCTACCGAAAAACAGGCATTTTTATTTTGCTGTGGTAAAGAAGCTTAAATACCATGAACTTCGAAAGGGTTTAAAATTACAAAAGGGTCTCTATGCCTGGCTTAGCACACTTGATAAAATACCCCACGAAGGCAATACATTTTGTGCAAGTAACGTGTCCCCGGGGCGCCTCGCATAATTTAAAACCCACATGATTCTGAACTTGTGCCAGTGACTCTGCATCTCGGGGCGTTTCACTTTACCAACCAAAGTGGGCCCTCTGTGAAGTCATTCCAATATTATCATTCACTAGACGTCACCCTCCCCATCGTTTGGAATTTATGCAACTCTTAGGGATCTTTGATATTTGTAGAGGGCGGGGCAGTGCCCTACTTCCCACTAAGCTCCTCAAGTGAGGCTCAGGGGGTGAGACTCCTGTGTTTTAATAAAGTAAGGAAGACCTATCGCGTTAACATGCGCAGAAAGCCCTTCCTTCCGGTTGCTTTTGTAGGTGGCTCCAGGCTGGACCCCGCGGGCTCCTTTGTCCCCACCAATACCAAGCAAGCTCTGTCCAACATGCTGCAGCGGCGCTCGGGGGCCGTGATGCAGCCGCCCTCCCTTCACGCCATCACGTCGCAGCAGCAGTTGATACAGATGAAGCTTCTACAGCAGCAGCAGCAGCAGCGGCTCCTCAGGCAAGCCCAGACGCGACCTTTCCAACAGGTTTGTCCCGACCAGCGGTGTCCTCCTCCACGTTTCATTAGCGTCTCTAGCTCGGGATGAGAGTGGGGACGTGACAGATCCTTGCTGCACGTGCACGCCTGTTTACCTGTGCGAGCGAGTGCACGTGGATCTCCCTCGCACAGGTTGATACATGCTTCTCCCCCCTTGTATTTTACTATTATCGTGGATCAAATAAGAACTTGAAATGTCTTAGGGTCATTCAAAGTATGCCTCAAAACAAAAAGAAGAGCTAATGATGTTCTAGTCACTTGGAAGCTGCAGGACTTTTATCCTTGAAGGGACCTTCTCTGAGCACTCATTCCCTATTATAGTTATCACCATATTCCGTACTCCTTTTAGCTCTACTTTCACGTATTATTATTTGATGTATTACTTTGAGGTTGTAGCTCTGAAGCCCTGATGTTTCCTACGTTTTCTCCTACAGTGCCCTGTACTGCACAGACTCTGTTTTCAGTATATACTTCACAAGATCTACAGTAGGCAAAGAATACATACACTACAAGTGACAGTCAGTATATGGATATCTTTAACTCTTGACTTATATTATTTCTATTTTTATGCCCTATAACCCCATTTTCTATAAATTTTAAAATGATAGTGATTGTTTAACATTGGTGGAAGTCACACGAAACTTAGTATAGACTCATAAATAACCCACCAATCTGTACAGATATGTTAAAGTAAAAAGAGGGAGGTGAGAATGTGACTTTTTCTTCCAGTTTCTGTACACTTTTTGTGTTTTCCAGTTTTTCTTAGAACAGTTGCACTAGGGTGATGCTGACGATAGCCGCTAACACGATGAGAGCACGCACTTTTTGCCAAAACGCTTCTGAGAACTTTAATGTATTGATTGTCTTAGATCTCATAGCAACCCTTGAGTGAGGTACTTTATGATCCTCAAAGGAAGTAGCCAGTCTACAAGTGTATCCTGCTCTAAGAACAACCACAGATTTTCAAATTAGCAAGGAATTCTAACGCTTTTAAAAATATTCTTTGTATTTTGAGTAACTTTCTAGACGTATCTCCATTGTACAACTTGTGGCACTTCTGCATGAAGTCCACTTAGTGATTTTGGGGATGGGAGTGGTAGGGCTAGTTATGCAGTCTTAAAAATGGTTCTTTTCCTTTTTTTAATTTATTATTTTTTTCTAACCTGTGTTATAAGAAGGACAGGAGAGAGGAATCTAGTTTGAACCACATGAGAATACAAACAACAGTCACTACATGCTTGTCTCCCCCTGAGCTCTCAGGGATTTTTGATCACTCAAACTCCCTGGGTGTCAGGAAACACGGGCCTAAGTTACTTCTTACACAGAAGTGATGAAGATTTGATTAAAATCCTTAAGAAGCCTTGATTTTTCTCTAAATAAGCAGCATGTTTGGAGTCATTTAAAACCTCAGTGGGATTTTAGCTCTTCTTGGGGATGAACGAAAATAAGTTACATCACTGTTTCAAATCCTTATCAAGAAAAAATTTACTGGAAGTCGAATAATTCTTCTACTAGAATGAATTCAGTTCCCTTTTAAAGTAATTTAAGCCTAAGTAAAATTTACCTTCCAATAAGAAATGTTTATTTTTTCCTATCTACCTTTTTATCACAAGGTAGAATTTGACTTATTAATAGCCCACTTTCAATCTATTACTGCTGGATTCAGTTTTGAATGTCTCTAATTGGGCAGGAGCTCACTGTGTCATTTATAGGTGAAACACCTGTCCTCAGAAGTTCACTTCCTGACACAAGCCATGACAAGCTATTTCCCCTAAAGCAAAAAAAAAAATTTTTTTTAAAGGGGATTCAATAGAATAATCTTCACGTATTCAGAAATATCCTTGCATGTTTGGAGAAGGTAGACTTACGACCTAAAACGTCGCTGTAGGACACCATTACTCACAACACTCAAAAATACCTGACTCTATTCTTTCATACCATCTAGGGTTGTACTGCTGGTACCAATAGGAATTAACTGATAATGCATTCTTTTTTTTAACTGATTCTTTTGTAGCAACTCTGTCACATGTTGGATTTTTCTTTTCTTTCCTTTTATCTTGCTTTTTTTTTTTTTTTTTCTCAACTTCGTAACAGTGATTGTACTGGCATACCTTGTTTTACTGTGCTTTTGCTTTGTGGCACTTCACAGATATTACACTTCTTACAAATTGAAGGGTTGTGGTAACCCTGCATTGAGCAAGTCTCGGCACTGTTTCTCCAACAGTATTTGCTGACTTTGTGTCTCTGTGTTACATTTTGGTAGTACTTGCAATATTTCAGACTTTTTTATTATTATATTTGTTATGGTGATCTGTGATCAGTGATCTTTGATGTTATTACTATGACTCACTGGAGGATCAGATGATGGTTAGCATTTTTTAGCAATGAAGTATTTTTTAAAATTAAAATGTACTTTTTAAAAGACATAATACTATTGCACACTTACTAGACTACAGTATAATTTAAACATAGCCTTTATATGCACTGGGAAACCAAAAACTTCAAGTGACTCTCTTTATCGAGGCATTCGCTTTATTGCGGTGGTCTAGAACCAAATCCGCAGTATCTCCAAGGTGTGCCTGTATAATAGTCACCTCTCCTTCTCCCCCATATTCTTTCTTTAACTGTTGAAACTTGCTTTAGAGTTTCTGAAGGGCTTTCAGAAGCAGACATGTTTTTTTCTCCCTCACCATTCTTGAAGTGTTGGATAATTGAGAAAAATAGAATTCTGTAAAGGAAGAGAAATGCATACGTGGTGCAGTCACAGGATGGAGTGGTCCTCCGTAGAGTAGATGAGACTTGTATGTAGCATCTGCTAGAGTGCCTGCACCGAGGAGGTTCTGAGGGAAATGTTAGCCCCTTTCCTCTCTCCCAGTAGATCATGGATTAGTATACCTAGAATCTAGCTAAATATGGTATCGTGGCACAAAAAAATTCTCCTCATGGTAATCTTTAAAAATCTAGAATAAAGGCAGAATTATATGGAATATAAGGGCTATTGATACAATGTTTTCATATATGATTCTGGATGCAATTCGTTGTTTTTCTAGTAAGCACTGACCCGTATCCTTCATAGTAAGAAGTGTTGATTCAGATTTTGGCAATAGCATCTTCTCGGGTTAAACGCACACACAGAATGCGATTCTCTCTAGCTACATACAAACTTGTGGGGGGTTTTTTTCTTTCAGTTTTTGGCTTCTTATAGAGAAGATGAAATAGGTATCATTTTCCTCCTTATCCTACAAATTTTCTAATTACAGAATCCATTTTCTTAAATGTAACAAACATGTTGGAGAATTTCAAATTACTTAACTTTCAAAACTTACCTTGGAATTGTAGCAGCTGCTTTTAAAGACTGACCAGTTGCTCCAAGCCTTGGATGTGACTCTAGCTTCTCAGGCTGGTTGTACAGTGACCCCCCGGCTGGCCCCCTCTTCTTAGGTCAGGCATTGGGTCTTATAATACTTTGTATCATCTTTCCACCTACTGAGCAGAGGATAGAAATCTATGAGATGTTTATTGAATGAATTCATGTTTTGAGCAGCTATTTCCAGAACCCTGGAGTTCCTTAGTAGCCTTGAGCCTTAGCAACCTGATTTTTATCCACAGACTCATCTCGTACCTCTTCCTCTGAGTGCTTCCAGAAACTTCTCCCAACAGCAACCTCTGCTCTGGTTGTTTTGAAAACCTAGATGGGGCAGAGAGGGCACACATTCCTGAATTCTGGATACATCTCAGACCTTGCAGAGTCCCCTTAGCCTCTTTACATGTAATGGACAGAGTTGATGTGTGTAGGAAGATCTAGCCTTAGATGGTGCACAATGAAAACTAGAGAACCATTATAGAATAATTCTGATTCTGCTGCAGACTGAATATCAGCTTCAGTTGGTCATGAAATTTTCTGTTATGAACCATCTTATATTTCCTTAGGAATGTATCAATAGTGTCTAGAAAACAGGTGCTAAATAGCATGGATATTGTTAGGTATTGTTAACCAAATTATTTGATGTAGTGACTGTTATTATAATCAGGTGTATTTTCTTACAGCTTTAGTGCACATTAACATGCACAAAGATGTTAGGTGAGGAAACTTGTTGTCATTTTTCTCAGTTGTAGTCTTCATCCAAGGAAGTAGAAATTCTCTCCCCCTCCATTCCTTACTCAGTGTCCCTTATTTAAATGGGACGCAGTATAGTGATTTTGTCACCTTTCTGTGCCTCAGAGGCTCATCTATAAAATGGAGCTAATGCAACATTTACTCCACAGGGTTCTTGTGAAATTAATGATTTAACGTCTGTAACAGCCCTTAGAACAGTGGCTGGCTTATAGTATGTGCTTTACTTGTATAATTACATTAATTGTCCCTAATATGATTGGTGTTCAGTGGCCACCAGTAGAAGAGACCAAGAAAAAGGAATGTTGAATATTGTTTAGTTTTCCTAATAGCCATTTTGGTTTCTTAGAGCAGTATGTTTTTACCATCTAAATTCTGTGATACAAACTTTAGAGGAACTGATTCCAGTTTCACTGTTAAAAATATCACTGTAATATTTTATTTTCCACATATCCCATGAGAACTATCATAAAATAGAGAATGCTGGTTATAATAATGCCAAATGCTGCTTAAATTGTTTTTCAGTCACCTTTTTCTTGTATCTAATATTTTTCTTCTGACACAAGGTAATTTCTTCCCCTCCCCCGCCCCCCCCCCCCACCTTATCAGTATTCTAGAGAAGGGGCTTTTGAAGGGAATCTTAAGTTTTGATACAGGAAGAGAACTTAATTTTGTGCCTTGATTTATGATATCACTTTATCCTGATTTCTCCCTTTCAATGCACAAAATCATCTTGTGTTCTTTGTAATAATCAGTGCTAGACAGTTTATTTTGAGAGACCAGTGAAAGATAAAAGATAGGTTTAGCTTAATTTGATTGAGACACATTTGGAAGAAAGCAATTGATTGTTGGCTACAGATAATGAATCATAAGGATTTTCATTATATTAAAGAGGAAGATTTCTGACAGACAGAAATGATGTGCTCAGTTAGAGCTGGTGGTTACTGGTAAGAACACTTGGTTATCTAACCATGGAGCAGGTGCCGTCACTGTGTATCCAAATAAAGGAATTAAGTAACTTAATGAAAGAACACTGACTGAGTCAGAGCCTTCCAGAGTTGTCAGCTCCTTGGCAAAAGTGTCTCTGTAACATCCTGAAAGCATGCCTCTTGGATTGATGAAGCTCATTTAAGTTGAGCAGCCATCCTTTTTGGTCTGGTAATTGATCTACCTTCTGGATATGGTATCACCTTGGCATATCTGTTTCCTTCCTTTTGCTCTTTCCCTCCTACTCACTCTTTAGCAGTGTTTTTCAAACGTACAAGAATAGACAATAATATAGCAAACACTGATGTACTTACCACCTAGCTTTATTAAATAACAATGTTCGGCCACATTTGCTCTAGATCATTCTTTTATTACATAAAACTTTACAGACATGGATGAGGCCCCTTGTCTCATAAAGAAAAAGAGGTAATCACTATCATGAATTCCATGTTTTTCTTTCTTATGAATGTCTTTTATATTTTTACTACATATTTTTGCATCCATGGACATAAACATTATATAGTATTACTTTCAGATTTGAAACTTTACATTATGATAGTCTCACACAGGTATTTTTGTACTGTTTTGTAACTTTTTTGTTTTGACTAATTTTTAATTATATCTACTTTGTTTTACTTGGTTTTATGTATTTGCTTGTCCTGGTTGGATACTCTTCCATTATGAGTATTAACATTTATCCATTCTGTTGATGATCATTTCAGTTATTTCCAATTGTTTGTTACTGTTAACCGTGCTACGGTAGACATTTTTGTCCGTGTCTTCTGCACGTGCCGAGTTGTAGGGTACATACGTGGAAGTGGAAATGCGGATTTAATTTCCAGAGTGGTGGTGATTCCCGTCGGTTATAAATGAGCGTTTTCTTTCCTTCACATCCTCCACTAACCCTTGATATTGTCAGACCTTAATTTCCTCATTCAGAGCAGGCGAAATCGTGTTGCGTTACATCATTTTAACTTGCATTTTCTTATTACCTGTGAGTTTAGGCATGTTTTATAACTTTACCAGCAATTTAAGTTTTCCCTTCTGTAATTTTCCTGATTCTATAATTTGAGCATATTTTCAAACTAATTTGGTTCTTAGTTGGTAAAGTTGTACAAAAGAGACTTGTTGAAACAAATCTTGAGTTTTGACAAGAATCTTTAATGCATTGACTCAGAGAAGTACAATTTTCATACATCTCAGTGACAAAATGAACTTAGGAGGACAAAAAACACTGAGCTAGTAACTATGTCCTAAACCCTGTCATTTTGTTCCTTGGGTGGAAACCATGTCCAGGAAAGTAGATGCTCTGCTTATTACTTAATAGCTGGTATTTCGCTGTTTACTTGAATGATAAGGAAGGCACCCATGTCGTTTGCTGACATTATGACTGTGCAACTATCGTGATCTCGTAGATAGTGTACACAGCTTGATGTTTATGAGCGGGGAGAAGATAGGGGTAGAGGGCTGAGAGAGTGAACCACTAATACAGAGGTGGTAGTTGGATATAAAGACAAATGAATAGATGCAATGAATTATGTACCTACCCCTAAAATGGTGACAACAGATATTATTTGCTTGGGAAATTCCTCCTATGATTTCTCGTTCTTAGTATAGTAAAATACTTTTATTTTTTCCATTAGGGTTATGAATTTTTTTGCCTCATCTCTATTTCTGAAATTCAGTGAACAGAAAAATTTTAATGTCTCAGACTAAGTGTCACTTAGAATTCATTCATAAAGATGATTAAGCAAGGGGATCATTGACCTGAGAAACAGGAATATTTTTCCCCAGCATATAGTTCCCTTTTTCTAAGTTAGACTCCCTGTTAGCGTGTAAGCACCAGTGGCACTATGAATATTTGTTGTCTATGTTGCTTGATTGAACGTGTGGTTAAACTGATGCTCTGTTTTCATTTGCATTTACTGGGGATGGAGCTATCTAATGACATCCTCCAATAATATATGACTTGTTCACTTAATGTCTTGTGTGTTTCATGTGACCCAAATGTCCTGAGCGCTTCTCCCCCGGCTCTGGGCTGGGAAGGACTTGGGCGCTCTTTTGCTTACACCGAGGTGCCAGCATCCCTTAGTTTCGGGAAGTCATCTGGGTCTGATAGCTCCCCTACTTCTTGTATGTCCCTGTTCAACCTCCAGGATGTGCTATTCCATTGTATGACTATTGCCGTATTATTTATCTGTGTCCCAGCCTATGGTGGTATTGTTTGGCATATAAATTAATATGAACTCTTAGGGCCTGGGTTTTTTAAGTCTTGACTCCCTGAAACATTGTTTTAAAATGAACTAATTCTTATGTATTTTGGCTACCCACATCATTAGGCTAAACAATCTTATCTGTATTGTCTGCCGTTTTCTTGCTGTCCCCTTTCTGTAGGACTTCTGTAACTCTGCTGTCTCCCTTCTGGAAGACTTTGACAACATAATGGTAACACCCCTGCTGTCTGTCATTCCTTTTACTTTCTTTTTTTTTTTTTCTTTAAGTAAACTTTTATAGCATTATTCTTTGAACATCAGAATGAGAAGCAGGTTATTCCCCTCTAGCTGGTAATTATTATAGTCTTCATTTCACTGTTACTCGGCTTATGTTTGAGACTGTAACACAGAATCATGAATGCATTGACCATGTTCACTTTAACGGAATTTATTTCTGAAAGTTGTCCCCTTTGATTGCCTCATGATTTTCATCATATACGTGTATGGTATCGAAACCAGTGGACGTTCATGGCCTGGGCTTGGGAACATAGGCCAGTTCGTGTACCTTCATCTCAGTCCCAGTTTTGAACCCATCTGTTCCCGAGCTCTCGCTTCTCTCTGCGATAACTCACCTCATTAGTAGAGGAACGCATGGCATGCTGACTCACAGGCCAATGCAAGATAATGAAAACTGTGGTTATGAAACATGCCCTTCTCATCACATCCCACTCACTGGTTCTTCCTAAATTCTCAACAGAACGCATCATCTCTATTTTCTTTCCGGTATGGAGAAGGTGTTTTTTTTGAGCATAGGTCTTGTGCATGCATGTCATAAGACTTCATCTCTACTGCTTTGCCTGGGCTAGCGAAGAATGCATGTTTTGCATTAAATTACTTATAGGTTTCTGTATCAGCTAGCCAACCCACAACATAACCCCAAGAAGCATTAGAATAAAAAAGAGCACACATCTCAGATGTGAATGTAAGTCAACTCGTTTCACTGCCAATTTAATGGGTAACATTTTCTATACATTGGTGAAAATATCCTTAATGGCATGTACAAGCTTTGAAAATATCTCAGTTATGAAATACTGCCATATAGGCAATTTCTTTAATAGTTCTTTCAACAAAGGAACGTTTGGAGACTTTTCTGAAGGCAATCAATTTTTCTATCAATTTTTCTTGACACTTGTACAGAGAGCAGGCGAGGTTTTTGTTTTTAAAAAAACTTGAATTAAACGATCAAATTTAAAAATATCTTTCAGGTAGCTTATGTTTGCTGTAGGGCATTTATTGTTCAGATGATAATGTAATTTGAACAGAATATAATTTGCATCTGCCATTGATTTTACTTTTTAAAAAAATAGACACAATATTTTGTTCATCAGGTATTTAAAGTCAAAAGGTTATGTGATCTATATATTCATTCAAATAAATGGAAATGTGTATCTGTATCTTTGCTGTCCTTTTCACCATTCTTATTTTTCTTTAATATTCTCCAATATCAGGAATTTAATGAATGTGTATGTATACTCAACCAATCAATATGTTATATTCCTCCTTTATGGGCATGTTAACAGAATATATTGTAAAGGTTCATTATTGTATGAGGTGTGTTTATTTCAAAATGCATCAGGTTGTTCCAGCAGTTAATGTTACTGTTAATCGATTGCCAACCAAGTTATATTTGATGGAAAGCTTTATAAAAGAATTAAGCATAACTGGTCAACAGGACCTCTTTGAATTATAGAATTTTCTGTGTATCTATTGTCTGCAATCAAAATACACCGGTATAATGTGACGACCAAAACTTGGGGTTCACGCCATTTGTTGTTTAACCTTGGGCACCATTACCCAGTACCTTCCAAACCAGTCGTCACAAGCAAAACCCTTTTTGCTAGTTGACTCATAAAACATTACCCACTGGTTTTCATTGGGTGACTTTTATTATTATTCCTAAATCAGCATTTTCAGAAACAGAGTCACAAAATCTGGTTGTGGTTTTTCAGGCACAACTTGTCTCTCTACTTGCAACCCTTAAACACTATTGGAAAGTTACTAAATAAGGATTTGAAAAAAACTCATTACTAGTGAATTGAGTGGATAGAAGATCCCTGATTCTGAAATGCTGCTGATTGTAACTGTCTGCTAATTGGAGCTGTAACCAATTCTCCTTTAGAAAGAGACCCTCACATTTTCTCAGTTGACTGAGAGAGTGAACTAATGAAGAGAACAAGACCCAGAAGATTGAAAATTATCTTTGAGGATGATTTATCAAAAATTTTTTTAACTTACTGGATCTATTCATTTCAAATTATGCAAGAGGTTTTGAGTCTACATCTCTTTGAGCTCAGATGCTTCTCTTGTCTAATTAAAAATAAAGCAGTAAGAGAGAGAATTGTTCTTATAAAGACCAGGAAGATGAGTCAGTATTGAACAGCACAGCTTTTTAAAAAGTTTTTAGGAAGTGGAAATTTTAGAAAATATAATAGGTTTCTGTTTCTTACCCAGAGGCAAGCCTAAAGCAAAATGTATAAAAACAAACGAGAGAGACCACATGTAGGAATTTACCCTGGGTAGCAATGTAGAGATGGGTTCACGTAGCTATCAGAATTTCCCAGTTAACTGTGGCTCACTCTCTTAGCACGTGTAAGTTGGGTACCTGAGCCAGGGGAGCTGGAGCCGGAGCACAGTGTGGCCCCTGGCTAGACACAGATATTCCCTCAGAAACCAGCCTCCTTTACAACCACAAAAGTGTGAAGTTAATGTTGCCTCTGATTGTTGCAGTTAAGCAGAATAAATCAAGAGGGGCAACTGAGCTACTCTCCAGGTATTAATGAAGGCAGAAAGAAGAAATCATTAGAATGACAGATGCTAAAAATTAAATTAAAAAGTGAGTTTTCAAAACAAAAGATGGTACTTAAAACTATGGGGCAATTGGAAAGCACTTGGTAAACTAATTTATCCTGAAATATAAATCTCAGTTTACCTCTGGAACTCTTGCTTAACAGATAAACTAAGTTAAATCTTAGATCTTAGGTTTCCTCAATAGATATTTATAGAGCACTTACTATATGCCAGACACAGTGCTAGGAACTGATTTAAAAAAAAAAAAGTCAAAGCTTAGATAGTTTTCAGAAAATAACAGATAAGTGGATTATGTACGACGCAGGCGACCGTAAGTCACAATTTGCCAGGCATGGTCTCACTTTGCCCCCGTTCTCCTGGCCTGTCCCAGTTCGGATGATACATTATATAGTCCCTTCCTGAATGCAGCAAAACCATCCCTACTAACATTTTAAGACTCTTACTATATTTAGTTTTCTTACCTATTCCCGCATTATGATCCTCGTTTAGCATCTGTAAAATCTTTCAAGTTACTAAAGAACTTCTTGGTCATTCATTCCTTACTCAACAGATTGAACTGTTTCTACAAATTGAAATAATTTGTTCCTGTCATTATTCTGGGAAAACCAGAGAGCAGGAGGAGGTCATTTCCGTTTGGGAGAAGAGATGGGTATTTTTCACTGAGGGCAAATATGACGATAGAAGCCCTTGGCGAGCGCTGCTGGCCAACGTGAGGTGTTTGTGATTTCCTCAGGGAGGGTATTGAATGTTAGAACCCTTACCTACTGTACTTAAGTAGCGAGTTGCGGGGTGGGGGGGGGAGGAATGGTGATGGGAGGGAATATAGTCTATTTACAAATAAATAGTTTACCTTTAGACTAAAAATGGTTCACTGAAGAGTACATGAATTTTAGAGTGTAAAACTGATTTGAAAATTTTCACCCCTTTCTCCTTGCTTTTTCTTCAAAGTTATAGTGTTTTTCCTTGAATGTTAATTTTGTGATTTTTAAAAATGTACATGTTTTTTAATTCGTATTTCTTAAATTTCCAAAATCTCAACTGTTCTTTGTCAATAAAAGAGTGTTGCCCAGTAACTCAGATCCACCACCACATATAAGTCATAGTTTGTTTCCTAAGGTTCTTCAACAAGCAAAGGAAGAGTAAAGAGTTAAAAAACATCTGTTTTATGTATCCGCATGCCTCTGTCACAGGCACATGGCATCTTGTTTCCCTCCAAGGCAAAAAAGGGCGTGGGTGTTTTAGACTACTTAGGGATCTCAAGATTCTAACTCACAGAAATAATTCATTTTTCTTTTCTTCTGTAAAAATGATAATATACATATATTTATCCCCACCAAGAGGCACAGCGGTATATGTTTCAGGGACCTTGGACAATGCTGTCGAGGAGCACCAAGTCGAGGAGCGGCATGTAAAGATCTGGTTGATTTAATGACTCCCTGGCTTAATGTTTGGAGGATCAAGGGCCATTTGGATACTTTGGGGCAATACTTGTAGGCTCCAGATAGCCACACTCCCGTGGCATGAGCTCTCCGAGAGGGAGCTTGGGGTATTTTTCTTAGACTTAAGCAAATAGGGATATAATTGCACTTAGATTAATCAGCTAAAGGCTCAGAGTATCTTCATGGTACCCTACGCTGGAAAATTAGATTCTTGTTGAAGCTGTTACATGTAGATACCATAGTAGATGCTCCCAGAAATTTGTGTTTGGTCCACGTATGGGTGGATAGCCACCTTCGGAGAGGCCGAAGTTTCTTAAATGCCCTCGAGTGATTTTATGTGGGGATCAGAGAAAAGGCTTCACCGTCTGATGTATACGTTTCATTTCAAAATCTCATTAACAAGTCTTAATAAAGAGTCTCCTTTTGGTTTCTTATTGGGGTGAGTTTACAAGGCTCTATGTCCCTAAAGAATAAGCACCAAATGAAATTTTAAATATTTTCATCCCTGATATCACATATGGAGGCATCTCATCATAATGGAAGAAACCCTAGGCTTTGGAGGCAGACTTACCTGAGCGCTCATGGCTTAGCCAGGTCTAGCTGGGTGAGTTCGCTAAGCTACCTAGGCTCTTTGAGCCTGGCTTTTCCTACCTGAAGAAAATGGGGATGATGTCCCCTCCCTGCAGAGTTCCTGTGAGAGAATGGGAATAAGAACAAGAAGCCCAGTCCCTGGCACATAATAGATGCTTAATAATTGTTGGTGTTCTCCCTCTTGAGCTAAATGTTTATACCTTTCTCCCTGCCAGACATATCTGCACTACTTTCCCAGAACATTAAAATTGGTTTTTAATATAACTGTATTTTAGCACTTAAAAAAAACGAGGACATCTGTGATATAAAACAGTGGTGAAATATCCTAGAATAAACCCCATTTCTTTGTTATTAGTAAGTCCTGAAAAAACCAAGGGGTGGTCGGAAGCTTGGCCTCCTTCTGTGATTAATACCGCAAGCTTCCATGAAATAGGTTCTGCCGCCAAAATGTAAAATACATACAGCTGCTCTTAGGAATATATTTATTTTTCCTCAGGCCAAAACATGTATTAAATTAAGACTGGTGAACAGATGTTAATTGGTTTTATTTTACATTGTAGCTGGTTAGAACTGTATTTGATATTAACTTATTATACATTTTAATTGATTATATTGATTATTAGAGTCATAAGAGATCCCAAATTCATCCCTTGCATACATGGCTAAATAGGCAATTCTTAGGTCCCTCTGAAGAAACATCATTAAAAAGTCATGAAGGTAGTATATGCCATCTGCGTGTACCACGTGTTCTCTTACTTTATGGGCACAGGATGAGGCAACTCTGTGGTTTCAGATTTCACACTTAGAGACTCATGCCTTTTACTCTAGAGGGACATTTGTACCCTGGAGTGTACAGGGAAGCTGACTCAGAGCCTCTCTGATGAGCAGACCATTGATTATTTTGGCTTGTGTTTATGTATGTGTGATCATTGGGGACATCTGTAGTCGTCTTTGGAAGAAATAATAAGTGCAGCAATCTCTACTGTTAATAGGAAATTGAGGAGAAATAGTATTCAATGCAGGTTGGAATCTGCAAGTGTTGTTCTCACATAGGGTGCGGTGTCAGGGGTTTTGGGGGGTAATTAACCGGGAGCTCGGATCATGCCCTTGCTGTTATGATCAAGAGCCGCCTCGGCTTTGTCTTCCAGGGCCAGCCGGGGGACCAGGCTGCTCTCTTTGCTGCTCAAGCACGGCCCTCCCCTCAGCTCCCCCAGTATCCAGGTCTGCAGCAAGCACAGGTACCCATGTTTGCTTTGTAGGTGCTGCTGGGATTTTTAATGCTCTTTATTTGAAGGGGGGAGCTAGGTAAGTAGGGTATCAGTTCCCTCATGGGGTATAGAACTTAGTCACTTCTGCTTATAGATTATAATTGACATTTCAAAAAAAAAAAGCTTTTCCAGTGATTATTAAACAAGTCTCAGGATTGATTAAAGGGCATGAAACATTTTAGGAAATTCTTGAATCAGAAATATCAATTCATACCTTTCTATTAATGATGATGGTAGATATTGAAATGACGAACAGTCCCAGCCAGGGTACTTATGTTATAATGTATAATGATGTAATTCATGATTGAATTTATGCTATTCAAAGATAGCTTCGAAGAGGAATCCTGGTAGAATAAGAAGATAATTGGCCTTGGCGTCAGACCTTGACAAAACTCCTGACAACCTACAAGCCGTGTAACATTGTGCGAGTTACTCTGAGTCTTGGTTTCCTTCTCTGTAAAATAGAGATGAACATTGTGGGGGTTTAAGACAACCTATGGAACTAGCAAAGCACCAGATAGATACACAGTAGTTATTCAGCAAATGATAGATTTGCCTTAATGTGATGCAAATCTTGAGCTATTTTTTCTAATAGTTTTGTCATTTCTGCTTCCATATCCTTGTACTCTATCCCTCTCATAATCAGGAGGCCAGGGATGTTGGCAAGGCCTCTAGTTAGGCCAGCGGTTCATACTGTGTCCACAGCTGAAAGGAAGGCCAAGGTTGGCCTTCACAGGCACCGAGCCACACGGCCTGTATCCCTGCACGCTGCCTGCAGGAAGGTCATCGTCCCTCACTCTGTCTTCCAAGTCAGAGCCATTCAACTACCTTAAAAGGTGGGACTTTGAGGACCTGCAGAGCAGTCCTCCTCTATTGTAATCAGCACTCTGTTCTGTAAATTGTAGATAGTGACGCAGCAGAACCTGGAGCTTTTCATTTACGTTGGGTGTCAAGATTTGGAGAATCAGCCACTCATATATTAACGATTATTGGTAGAGTGCTGAAACAGGCTGCAGTCCAACCAGAACTAGAGATTATTGAATAGTCACCAATGACACCCTTATTCTCTGGTTAAGGTAATTGATTGTTTCTGTTGTTGTTGTTCTTGCTAACTGGTTGGTCACTACAGACAAATTCATTAGCTCCGAGGAAGTGTAGTTACATACAAGGAAAGTGTACTCCATGATTTTAATTTACATTGAGCATGAGTAACTCTTCTGGTTAATTTTGGAAACAACACTAATGATGCTTGGGATCTGTTGAACATTGATGCCATCTGTGCACTAAAGGTAGAGATGCTTGCCTGATTGTTTCTGTGCAGAAACCTGCCCTTCCTTTCCTCAAAATAAGCAACTGAGCTTAAAACTGATCTCTTAACCAAGTGAGGATTCCTTTCGCTCTTTAATTGAAATTTCTGGTGAATCATTATACAAACAGCTCATTGTATAACTTTCGGGCTCTTCTCTCTGCCTCCAGAGTGATCTTCCTCATATTTTGAGTGAAAAAGAGTCTTTGAGAACGGCGAATTTCAGGGGACTCCTCCTGGCTTTGTTTTTGCCCTCGATATCTTAGCGATAGGAAAGCTGGGGGCAAATCAAAACGTTGACTTCCTTCCTTGTGCCTGCCTGCAGACCATGCCCCAGGGCTATACGATGTACGGAACGCAGATGCCTTTGCAGCAGACCCCTCAGCAGCAGGCTGGCAGCGTGGTCCTGTCTCCTACCTATAATTCCAGAACCTATCCGGCTGCGCATTCCAACCCGGCGCTAATGGAAAGACTCAGACAGATGCAGCAGCAGCCGCCGAGTGGCTACGTTCAGCAGCAGGCGTCTCCGTACCTGCAGCCCCTGAGTGGCTCTCAGAGGTGATGCATGTGGAAGTAATGATGGCAGTGGTGGACACTCAAATTCTCGCCTTTACCGTGCTGCTTCTAGGACATGGTGCTTTATAATTGTTCCTATGAGCTTGCATATTTGCATATAATTTTCATCGTCATCTCATCTTCAGCAGCATCCAGATTGTGGTTCAAAAGAAGCAGTGCCCCATCTTGTTTATTCCTTTCAAGTCCCTTATTGTTTGACTCACATCTCCCATAGTATTTGTGTAATATTTTTCAATGATACCACTATGTTAGCTCCAATGTTCTTTTTTTCCTCCTCTTTTAAAAAGGTTTTTTGGCAATAAATATCTAAGATTAAAAATTGTTAATTATCCTTAGCAGTGCCTTACTAGAATATGTTGATCGGCGCCACAAAGCCTGTGATTGCAATACTCGTTGTGCACGGTGCCCGTAACACTTTTGTCACATATCTTAGTTTCTACCTTTTCCACCTCAGGAATGGCTGGCAAAACCAGATCATGAAAAGACTCTTACTCAGTTTTTGCTTTAATTGGATCTTGTAGATGTAGTATATAGTGTATAACCGCACTGTCCATTATAGCAGCTACCAGCCACGTGGGCTATTTAAATTTAGACTAATTAAAGTTAAGTTAAAGCTCCTCAGTTCTCTGTCACACTAGTCACATTTCAAGTGTTCATTAACCACACGTGGCCAGCAGGGCCAGCTTCGAAGGTGTGTGACCTGCGCAGTCACATAGGGCGCTGTGTTTAGAAGACCCGCGTGGTTGATTGTAATGCTCTGTTGTCACCCGCTTGAAATCATTACTGATTTTTGATCAGAGAGCCCTGCATTCTTGTTTTGCACTGAGACCCAGAAATGATACAGCTGGTCCTGGTGGCCAGTGGCTATCTCATTGGACAGCGCAGGTGGAGACATTTCGGTCACAGTAGAAAGTTCTGTTGGATGGCGTTGGTCTAGGAGAACTCAGTTTCATGCAGATTGCTGCACTACAGTGGACAGCAGCTGGACTCCCGTGTGTTACCATCAAAGATTGCAGGTCAACTCGAAGTAATCACTGTTTGGAAAGTTGGCAGGGTCGTTGGTAACACATGTGGGAAAATACATGAATTTGGAAAGCAGGCACCATGTTTATTATTTGTCTAATAAGTGACAGCATAGCATATTGCCTAAGAACTTGAACTTCAGAGCCCCGAAGTTCTGGGTTGAAATCCCACCTGTGCCATTCGCTGTCTGAATACCTGTGATACCATGTGTCCCTGGGAGTCTAGGTTACCTTAACCACGGGTCTCTATTGCATTGGAGTTGTACATAGGGATTACTGAACGTGGCGGTTTCTTTGTGAGTGTGTGCAGTGTGCCAGTGGCACTGATTGTAAACATTTGACCGTATGCTTGGGCCTGAAAACAAGTTCTTTATTCTTGACCAGACTGAATCATCAGTCACTTCAGCAGAGCCCTCTGGTGGGTGGAGGACTGGATGCGGTGCTGACCTCCGTGCACCCAAACCTTCCCTCGGTGTCCCTGTCTCAGGACCCAGTGAGGCCCAGACAGCCACAGGTGCGGCAGCAGCAGAGGCTCCTCCAGGTATGGAGCTGGGAGTGAATGCAATGTGTGCGGGGTCCTCAGCGGTCATGAGAAATGGCAGACGCTTCAGACTTTAATTGCTGGGACCTAACGGGGGCAATTTAGTTCCAGTTCGGCAGGGGCCTTCCTTTCTCCGTGCATCTGCCAGGTCGTGGACAGAAGAGTGCATTTTGCAGACCATCCTTGCCCTTTCACAAAGGTTCGGGAGGGTAGCTGGATGCCTTTATCTTAAGAGTATAAGCCTCAGCTCCCTCAGTCACTGTTTAACTAGAGGCCATGCAATTTGAGTTCAAAATTTCTTACATGTGTATTTTTTTAGAAACAGTCAAGCCGTCCAGAGTTTTTGTTCAGATTTCTAGAGGGGTCTGTAATCCAAAAAATTTTCCGCTTAACACCTCTAGTCTGATTGGGCTGCGAAGTTGGAGTTACGTAGGTAGGATACTTCAAAGGGATGTTTCATCCTGTCTCTGGTAGAATCCAGAGAGCTGTCCTTCACTTATTTGTCATAAATATTTGAGTCTCCTAGATAAAGGGCTCCTCCCCTTAACACATTCCGGCTTCTCCCTCCCTTGTTTAGGGAATATAGGCTGTTACGTTTATCTGTTCCATTTGCCTTTATTATTAGCAAGCTTATCCTGTGTTGTTGGGTTGGAAACTGCCTGATGAGTCTGTACAGTGGACTCTAATCTCATCAACAGTCCAACTTGAGGTGCACTGTCCTTTTGTGTATTCCTAAGAAAGGAAAAGAAAGCAGCACCGAGAATGGGAACTCTAGTAGAACTGGGGTACCCAAGGGCCATACTCTTTGTATGAGGTCAATGAGAAATAAACCTGTCATGCAGAAAAGGACAGCAAAGGAACTTGCATGTCTCATCCTTGACACTGGTGGTGGGAAGAAAATATTTGAGCCATTAGCTCAAGTGGGTTTGAGGTCTGAATTCAGTGTGACCCAAAAAATTCTGGTTGGCAGTGCCAACACTTCGACAGACCAAAGCCACCACAAATCTTCAACAAAACTGGGCTTCACAGTTATAAGATGCCATGAATTGCATCCCAGTTTTTGCCTGTTAAAACGTGGAAAGAACTGTATCACAAAGTTGAACAACATATGGTAATTGGTTTGGGAGGGAGTGTGGCCTATAGATGGCCAATCCCACTCATTGCATGTATAAAATCTCCAGCGTGGTCAAAAACCCTCTAGTCCTTAATTTTGTCATAAATAAAATGGAACTAATTATAGTGCCCACCTCTTAAATGTGTAGTGAAAATTAAATATGAAAATGCAAGTGAAGTACCCATTTGGTAATATTACCATTATTATGACTATAAATACTCATAGTGATATTTTCTTAAAGTAATTTTTTTCCCAAGTGCTAAGTATATGTTTCAGAATTTTTTAGGACTGATATTTATATTTCTCTCTGTTTTAAAATTTCTCATTTCCAGATCACCGAGGAAAGTTATTACATTGTTTTTTTATTTACCACTTCCTTTCTTACACTAGGATTGTTTTCAAGCTACAAATTTTGAAAACCTTCCTTATTGGTTAATGTGTACTTTTTATCCCAATTAACATGGTGTGTCCTTCTGATAATTTTTGCATTACCAACACATTCCTGGGAGATAAGGAAAAATGATTTGCTTCTGCATCCGAATTATACTTATTCCTTTTTTGGTGACTGACTACCTCCATAAAGGAACAGATTAATAATTACAAAGTTGGGGTGACTTTTCCTGAAAGGGTTCACAGAGAGCCCAATGGAGAATTGGCTTCCTGTTGCAGTCGCTGTGTTTCTGGTCCATGTTGGGAGTGGCCTGCCCACACCTCAGCTAGGATTCCAAATCCATGACCCTTGTCACTTAGTGAAAAATGCCTTCTGGCAATAACTATTGATTACCGTGCCCTAAAGAAGACAAAGAATTTGAGGGACAGTATGCAAACCGAGTTGGAAAAATGCAGAGGCTGAAAAGAAGTCTGGTGCTGTCATCCTCGAGATGAAGCGTTCGGGTGGAGGAGACTTTAAAGGTCATTGAGACAAACCACCTCTTAATATTTTCCTCTCCTCTGTGATGTTCCCCCTGGTGGACGTCTAGTCTGTGTTTCTTTTGTGACTTGCAAGTGTTTTCCAAGAGCCATGTATTTGAGCCAGCGTTCACGGACACAATTTATGATTTTATGCTGGTAATTTAGGCCAGAACTTCTCACATCTACATCTTCCTTTAAAAAAAAAATCTAAATTCAAGAGTTCCTCTGGGTACCATAGGGAACAAAAAGATAACTAGCGAGCAGTCCTTGTCTCACCTGAGAGCGTAAGGTGGAATGAAATATGTGGAAGGGCAAATGGCATGAAATGAATTAAGGCAGTGAGTATAAAGCATGTCCCTGGACAGCGTAGGGTGGTTTAGACTGTGAACGCTGTGACTAGCAAAGAAGAGATCCCTGGGGTTGCAGTAGTCTGGAAGCACACGGAGGAGATTTAGGTCTCCTGCCCTTGAAGGAGGAACGATATATTTGGGAAGACAAAGACGGAGGAGGCAGGTGTGTGTCATCCTTGTTGGAGCAGACTGATTAGGTCAAAGGCCTATGGGGGGAGGGAACTGGAATGACGGACGTCAACCTCCTGTTTTCACACGTATAATTCTTTTTCTTTCTTTCCAGATGCAGCAGCCCCAGCAGTCCTCGCAGCCCCAGGGTCAGACCCTCGGTCTCCAAACCATGCAGCCTCAGCAGCCTCTGGTAAGGCCTGGTGTTCTGAAACCAAACATGTGGCTTTCTTCTTCCTTTTTCCCTTTTGTTTTTTTTTTTTTTTTTTTTTTTGGTGGTGTTCTTTAAAGGCAGATTGCATTTTTCATGTCCCGTGAGATTGTTAAGAACTGAAAAAGCCTAAATATACCCTAGCCGTTTCTCCCCAGCACTTCGTCAGAGTAGGGTTGTGTTACTGTTGTAGTCAGTATATTTGTTTTCCTAGAAGGTATAAATAAATCTTTGGGGTTCAGCAGGTTATGTAATTTTTCCTCTTTAAATTTCTTCGGACTTTTCCGTTCCGTGGGCTAAATAGTTATATTGAGAAACCAAGTTTTATTCTGAACAGTGTTAGAATGATAACTTAGTATGGATATGTTTAGAAGATTATCTTAACTTGGCTTTGAGTTTTCACTATAATCCCAAAGAAGCGTGAGAGTACTTTCTAAAATATTACTTTACTGATGTAAAAGAAACTCCGAGTCTAGCCAGTTAGCATTTGCTGCAAGAATTTTCATGTAATTCATTTCATATAATTTCATGAAATTTTCATGTAGTCTTATAATTTGCTTCTGTAGCTTTGTAAGTCAAATTTCGAAATGTTATATGCATAGCACCAATCAACGTGGTCCAAGCCTCAGTACTTTTTACTTCTGCTGGTGCCATATCCCTTCTTTATTACTTACCTGCTACTTGTCCTTAGATTGCCTCTTTTCCTATTTCCTTAAATAAATGTTTTCTAAAAAGAAGCATTTGATCACTACTCTCAGTGGTACTGGTCACATCCCTTGTCACGCATTGGAAATAAATGTAAAAATAAATACCGACTCTGCAGGGAGCTCAGCAACATGTTGAGTGAGTACCACCCCTAAGACGAGCTGTGTTACTGCATGTGTCTCACACTTTGGAAAATGCTGACGTAGACTCTTTCCAGGACAGGATTTGAAAGATAGATGGTTTTTCAATTTGTAGTAAAGAAGGAACAGTATGGCCCGGGCTATAGTATATTAGCAGGGATAGAGTAGAGTTAGGCGGTAAAGGGCTGAGAATGCCCAAAAAGGACTGGAATAGGACACCTTGAGGATATTTTATAAGCCTCTGCCTTGGCCATTTTGATCTTCATTTTTAAGGAAATTCTTCCTTATCATGAAATGTAATCGTTATTTTGGGTAGGATAAAAAAATAAACATTTGATTCTGTCACAAAGTTAAATTTACAGGACTAGGGTAGAAGTTGCCTTCAGGCTTCTTCGTTATGATTGGAAGCAGAGGATCAGCTTATGCAGAACTGAGGGGAGACCCTGTCCCCATGCTCCGCTGGAATTAAAGCATGTCTCATACAGCAGAATTTAGTACCTTTCTACTCTCCTGATAGTGTCATAAATATTTAATAATTTTTGGTGTGTAGCGAGTATATATCGCACATTCAGTTTTGACTTCTAAGACAGTATTGACATGTTTTAATGCACTAGGTTGTATTTCCCTCACTGGCTTAAGACACTTCCATCCCAGGGCCTGAGTGGGTCAGTGAGGTCAGGCTCACGATTGTTTCCCAGTGTATTCATAGGAAAGTAGTTCCAGAGAAACAAAGACCTTCATCCACGGTAATCGTAATGGATAGTAAAATGCACACTAGGCTTTTTATGGCTTTTTAATTTCTTTTAAGCAGAAATTTTTAAAAAGCTGCCTTGAGAAGCATAGTGTCTTATTTTGATATTTAGAGCTATATATATATATTTTTTTAATTTTTTAACATCTTTATTGGAGTATAATTGCTTTACAATGGTGTGTTAGTTTCTGCTTTATAACAAAATGAATCAGTTATATATATACATATGTTCCCATATCTCTTCCCTCTTGCGTCTCCCTCCCTCCCACCCTCCCTACCCCACCCCTCCAGGCGGTCACAAAGCACCGAGCTGATCTCCCTGTGCTATGTGGCTGCTTCCCACTAGCTATCTACCTTATGTTTGGTAGTGTACATATGTCCACGCCTCTCTCTAGCTTCGTCACAGCTTACCCTTCCCCCTCCCCGTATCCTGAAGTCCATTCTCTAGTAGGTCTGTGTCTTTATTTCTGTCTTACCCCTAGGTTCTCCGTGACATTTTTTTTTTCTTAAATTCCAAATATATGTGTTAGCATACGGTATTTGTCTCTCTCTTTCTGACTCACTTCACTCTGTATGACAGACTCTAGGTCTGACCACCTCATTACAATAGCTCAATTTCGTTTCTTTTTATGGCTGAGTAATATTCCATTGTATATATGTGCCACATCTTCATTATCCATTCATCCAATGATGGACATTTAGGTTGTTTCCATCTCCGGGCTATTGTAAATAGAGCTGCAATGAACATTTTGGTACATGACTCTTTTTGAATTATGGTTTTCTCAGGGTATATGCCCAGTAGTGGGATTGCTGGGTCATATGGTAGTTCAACTTGTAGTTTTTTAAGGAACCTCCATACTGTTCTCCATAGTGGCTGTATCAACTTACATTCCCACCAACAGTGCAAGAGGGTTCCCTTTTCTCCACACCCTCTCCAGCATTTATTGTTTCTAGATTTTTTGATGATGGCCATTCTGACTGGTATGAGATGATATCTCATTGTAGTTTTAATTTGTATGTCTCTAATGATTAGTGATGTTGAGCATTCTTTCATGTGTTTGTTGGCAGTCTGTATATCTTCTTTGGAGAAATGTCTAATTAGGTCTTCTGCCCATTTTTGGATTAGGTTGTTTGTTTTCTTGTTATTAAGCTGCATGAGCTGCTTATAAATTTTGGAGATTAATCCTTTGTCAGTTGCTTCATTTGCAAATATCTTCTCCCATTCTGAGGGTTGTCTTTTGGTCTTGTTTATGGTTTCCTTTGCTGTGCAAAAGCTTTGAAGTTTCATTAGGTCCCATTTGTTTATTTTTGTTTTTATTTCCATTTCTCTAGGAGGTGGGTCAAAAAGGATCTTGCTGTGATTTATGTCATAGAGTGTCCTGCCTATGTTTTCCTCTAAGAGTTTGATAGTCTCTGGCCTTACATTTAGGTCTTTAATCCATTTTGAGCTTATTTTTATGTATGGTGTTAGGGAGTGATCTAATCTCATACTTTGACATGTACCTGTCCAGTTTTCCCAGCACCACTTGTTGAAGAGGCTGTCCTTTCTCCACTGTACATTCCTGCCTCCTTTATCAAAGATAAGGTGACCATATGTGCGTGGGTTTATCTCTGGGCTTTCTATCCTGTTCCATTGATCTATCTTTCTGTTTTTGTGCCAGTACCATACTGTCTTGATTACTGTAGCTTTGTAGTATAGTCTGAAGTCAGAGAGCCTGATTCCTCCAGCTCCGTTTTTCATTCTCAAGATTGCTTTGGCTGTTTGGGGTCTTTTGTGTTTCCATACAAATTGTGAAATTTTTTGTTCTAGTTCTGTGAAAAATGCCATTGGTAGTTTGATAGGGATTGCATTGAATCTGTAGATTGCTTTGGGTAATAGAGTCATTTTCACAATGTTGATTCTTCCAATCCAAGAGAATGGTGTATCTCTGCATCTATTTGTATCATCTTTAATTTCTTTCATCAGTGTCTTATAATTTTCTGCATAGAGGTCTTTTGTCTCCTTAGGTAGGTTTATTGCTAGATATTTCATTCTTTTTGTTGCAGTGGTAAATGGGAGTGTTTTCTTGATTTCACTTTCAGATTTTTCATCATTAGTGTATAGGAATGCCAGAGATTTCTGTGCATTAATTTTGTATCCTGCTACTTTACCAAATTCATTGATTAGCTCTAGTAGTTTTCTGGTAGCATCTTTAGGATTCTCTATGTAGAGTATCATGTCATCTGCAAAGAGTGACGGCTTTAGTTCTTCTTTTCCGATTTGGATTCCTTTTATTTCCTTTTCTTCTCTGATTGCCGTGGCTAAAACTTCCAAAATTATGTTGAATAAGACTGGTGAGAGTGGGCAACCTTGTCTTGTTCCTGATCTTAGTGGAAATGCTTTCAGTTTTTTACCATTGAGGACGGTGTTGGCTGTGGGTTTGTCATATATGGCCTTTATTATGTTGAGGAAAGTTCCCTCTATGCCTACTTTCTGCAGGGTTTTTATCATAAATGGGTGTTGAATTTTGTCGAAAGCTTTCTCTGCATCTATTGAGATGATCATATGGTTTTTCTCCTTCAGTTTGTTAATATGGTTTATCACATTGACTGATTTGCATATATTGAAGAATCCTTGCATTCCTGGAGTAAACCCCACTTGATCATGGTGTATGATCCGTTTAATGTGCTGTTGGATTCTGTTTGCTAGTATTTTGTTGAGGATTTTTGCATCTATGTTCATCAGTGATATTGGCCTGTAGTTTTCTTTCTTTGTGACATCCTTGTCTGGTTTTGGTATCAGGGTGATGGTGGCCTCGTAGAATGAGTTTGGGAGTGTTCCTCCCTCTGCTATATTTTGGAGGAGTTTGAGAAGGGTAGGTGTTAGCTCTTCTCTAAATGTTTGATAGAATTCGCCTGTGAAGCCATCTGGTCCTGGGCTTTTGTTTGTTGGAAAACTTTTAATCACAGTTTCAATTTCAGTGCTTGTGATTGGTCTGTTCATATTTTCTATATCTTCCTGATTCAGTCTTGGCAGGTTGTGCATTTCTAAGAATTTGTCCATTTCTTCCAGGTTGTCCATTTTATTGGCACAGAGTTGCTCGTAGTAATCTCTCATGATCCTTTGTATTTCTGCAGTGTCAGTTGTTACTTCTCCTTTTTCATTTCTAATTCTATTAATTTGAGTCTTCTCCCTTTTTGTCTTTATGAGTCTGGGTAATGGTTTATCAATTTTGTTTATCTTCTCTAAGAACCACCTTTTAGTTTTATTGATCTTTGCTATCATTTCCTTCATTTCTTTTTCATTTATTTCTGATCTGATTTTAATGATTTCTTTCCTTCTGCTAACTTTGGGGTTTTTTTGTCCTTCTTTCTCTAATTGCTTTAGGTGCAAAGTTCGGTGGTTT